GAGGGACAGTATTGAAAACTAACCTAGTTGGGTGGAGGGAGAGATTAATAACTGAATCTTTGTTTATCGAATCAACACCAAGTATATGTGATGGAAATGATTGTGAACCTGTCCCAGATAACTGGAAATTCTGCCACCTTTTTCACAAAGAAGGAGAGAAGATTGAAACTATATAAACTCTGTCTCAAAGTTGTGGAGTAACCTGATATGAATATGGACAATGTGTTATGTTCGAAAGATTATCCAGTAAATGATACTGTATCATACTGTGTTACTGTTCTAGTAAGCACACTTGAAGGAATTCGATCAAAGTTATTCTGATATTAAGTTAAGCTTATGACTGTTTTCGTAGAACTGTATTTTAATTTTTGTGAATTGTTTTTTCATTTCAACATAATTGATAGGTGAGCCTACATTCACAGTTGGAGTCAGACTGCTGTTTCAACGGGCCCACATTATGGAAAGACAACCTTACACCTGTAGTATTTCAGCCTACTTGGAATGAAAATGTCGCAACCACTCAGTATTCTAATTAGTAGAGCAAAACAACCGAGATGAATTTCTTCATGCACCCTGGGCTTTCAGTTATTCAGTTAACATGAACAGTAAACATTCAGAGGAGCCAAGATCAAGGATTACTAATTCATTTTAAGTGTGCTATTCTTTAAGTATCAAATTCTTTTTATACTTTTAAACTTTTTCTAGCTTGAGTGCAAGATCAAATGGAATCGGCATTCATTTTCACAACTTCTTTTTATTTCAAAGATGATATTTTTTTTCACAGATTTTCATGCTATTAACTATTTAATACTACCAAAATTTACTTTGCAACGAAAAGCTTTCTTTTAATTAGGTGATTATAATACAGTAAGATATTTGTAGTTCAGAATAAGGATGATGGTAGTTGGATGTTCTCTGATGATGAAACGTCCACAGCAAACTATTAAGGCTCAGAAAATACCTAACTATCATCAGTAATAGATACATGCAAGTGAATGCTCTGCATCATTCACAGCAAGTTATCAGTAAATCAAATAAAAAAAATATGGTCAAATTTGTCAGTTCCATGCCGATTTTCATCAGTAAAAGATTATTTCAGGTTTGGTTTCATTCAGGAACAGGTGGTTATATCATCCAGTCACGATGAAACTGGTAACTTTAAGGTCTTTCCGTTATAATTCCTCTAGATCTTTTCAGTGAGCACTCAGGAACTTACCTTTGTTTCTTACATAACAGGGTTACATCTTTTGTGAAAATAATAGTAAACAATGAACCTATTGATGCAAATTTGGCGCAATGATTAATACAAGCGTGACTCATTAATGAATCAGAGGACTTCGCTTAAGGAAAATATCTATTCTCTTCACTGCACTCAATTGTACCTTATACCACTATAACGCTTGGAAAGTACGAGAAAGAACAGATTAGGAGTTTCTGGTCACATGGGTCTCCGTCGCATTGTTTGCGTATAGTGAGATCACGATGTGAACATTATTGAGGTTTGATGAAGGGGAATGGGCAAAGAAAACAAGTCAGTCAATGATGTTGTAAGTTTCCACCAACTGTTGTGATCTGGACATGTGTTGTGAATGCTGAGCCACCTCCTTCCTTGGCGAGCAATGCTAGGAAGATTTGGACTAGACTGGGAGAAGATTCAGAGTGGCTAGACTAAGACATGGTACTAACCGAGGAAGTATCTCACTCCAGAACTTCTGAGCTGTCTTATGGTGTGCACTGCCTAACTGCAGTCTTCGAGATAACAGGACTCTATGATTGTCGAATTTTGCTGAAATGGCTGGAAATCAGTCACGTTGCCACACATGTATTCACCCCTTGACGTCTTGTAACTTTCATACATTTTCCCTAACCTTCAGTTATTTCTTCCCTGTCTTCCCAAATATTGTTGTTTACTTTAATATCACTGCATTCTATAAATGTTGATGTCTAATGTGGTTAATTGAACCAGTGTACTTTTGCGCCTGATTCTACGTTGATCTGTCTGTCAATTTATCTAATGAATATTAGTTTGCAATGAAAACTAAGCTTCAGTCAAGTACTTCCCCACAACTTAATATAGCAAAGCATGCGTTATGCGTGACATTCTGGTGTGTTACACTGGTTAGTGGTACTACAACCCTTCAAGATTGTTTAGTGTAGCAGAGGCTTTACATGAAGATTCCTTATTTAACCTTGTACCTTAGTTCTTGTTCTGGTAACTAGTACTTTGATAGACATACACTTTTCAGACAAAGTACATCACAAACGTCGAGCCGTCGTCCAACGGATTCACAGCAGTAGCTGAAAGTCAGTTCACCAATTTTTAACGTCATAATAAGTAGTCGACGAACGCTTCTAAGTTAATGCTCAGTTGTTAATGGATTAACTTCACTTATGCTCATTCTGTCAATCAGTCATCAGTTGGGATAAAAATGGGGACTATTAATGCAGCATAAGGATCCCACTTGTCAAACTTTATAAAAGCATATCAAAGTTGGTGGCACACAGATGAACAGCCGAGAAATGAAGATGAAACCAGTCAAAGTGGAAGAAAGTCATAAAACGAAAACAAAAAGGAATGGAATATTAGTAAAATTTACAGTGGGAACCAAGGTGACGATAATGTGTCAATATATCTGAGTGACTGAGTTAGAATATGAGGCATATCATACGGACTTTTTAGTCACCAATTTTGGTGATCACATGAACTCTAACCGGAATTCTACATTTATCTAAATGACTGAAACCAACGGTTAAAGACTTTATGGACTGATACCATGTTTTACTCTGGCTACCATGACGATCTTTCGGGCAAAAATTACTTGAGCTGACATTGCGCAGCGTGGTTGGTGGTTAGTGAGCACTCATAACACACTTTCCTATCATCTGAGTCGATTAACGTTCACAACGTCACTAACTCACCTTCCTCTCATGGCTATAACTTTAGGCCTGACTTCTATGCTAAAGACTTGATGTCATTACAAAATATAGTTTATGCTACGAAAGGCAACGGTATTCGAACAGTTGAAGCTTTCTCATTTCTTGCAACTGTATTGATAATGTTTCACATCTATATAACAGAAGTGTGAACCGCAGCTCAGAATACTCCACTCTCAAAATATAAATGGTGAACAGTGAACTATGCATTTAAAATCAAGCTGCTTAATTGAGCAACTGGATATCTAGTTTAATATGGGTTAACTGATTTTAATCACCATTAAGTACTAAATGAAATCCAGAGGTAAGGTGAATCCTGAAGATCACAAACACTGTAGTGATAGGAGCACGGAAATCAGGTTTGGTGATTATTTGTCTAGTGCTACTAGCATTCTGAAACAAAAGGGGTTACTCTGAAATACGTTTCACACATCATACTGTACAAGTGGTTCACAAAGTGTCCTGTTCACCATATCAGATGACAAACTCAATGATCACTAGTCTGTGGAATACCTTACAAGGAACGCCAGAGGCTCAGGTGATGGTCAGCGTCTGTTTGAACCTCAGTGGTAAGGATAACCAACCAATTCATACCTAGTTGGAGCTCAAGACAAGTAAACCTTAGAAAATAGGTAGATTTCTGACCTGGTTGTGAAATATATCCACTATATGTGGGGTACAACATATTTCCAGTTGTCTGAAGTAATCTGTATTTCTCAACCTGAAGGTGGAATTCAACCCGTTTGACCTTTTATGCTTGGAACTGTTGGGACAAAAATAATAACTGCACTCAATTGAATCTACTACAACTGATTCTCATAAGTCACACGTTCCAGTGAAGGTCAATAATTCAGACGGTCACTGAAACTTTTCTAGGTTAAGTGATGCCTGAAAGTGTGAACTGGTGCGAATTTCGACAGTATGCGGCCTTATGGACTCATGATTGAACACATGTTGGAAATAAAAACTAGACGATAAGGTTGATCATTAAATTTGACTATCTGAGTGAGATAGCCGTGGTTTGACAGACTTTTTTTTAACTGGGTGATATTGATTGAAGGTGAAATAAAAATTTGGACCGCAGTGGGATTCAAACCAGTGACCCCTCCAGTATCGATGAGCTAGTTATCAGGAAACATTACAATTGTTTTGTTTGTTTTTTCTCTGCATACAAGTAATTATTCATGCAGACTTATTTTAAAAGTTTACATTGTTGTGCAGAACTTCTTAGGTCTGTTGAACTGCGATATGATCGAGGAGTTTCTCTGAGAACAATCAACACACATAATAATACTTCAATTGCTAACTGAACGAATACAACACGGGGTTGTGAAGAGTGACAATTAGAGAGATTATAGTTCAACTATCTAAAAAGAAAAATTATGATCAGTTAAGTAACAGGTTGTTTTGTGGAGATAACACGTAGTGTTAGATTAGTGGATATATGCATATTTCCAATGCTGATAGTGGCTATTATCATCGTTAACCCGCTCACATAGAAAGCGTATCGATTAAAAAAAGAAAGAAGCAAAACTTGATGATACGAGCAAATGGCAGATAACAATCACCAAATGATAAGCATCAAGTAAAATATTAATTAATCTCGTTGCTCGGTCATCCATTGTCGTTACTTCAGTATGAAAAATGTTAAGATGATAGCATTCACTGGAGATAAGAACCTGTTGATAGGGATTAAGTCATCCGCCACACTCATAGAAAGTAAGTCATTAAAGATCCACAACAGTTATTATCATGATGTCTAGAAAAGGTGATCTAGTAAAACGTCAGAAGTCTACACCAGATGATCATTATAAACCAAGATCACAAACAGTTTAAAAACCGATTCAACAAAAGTACTTCATAAACAATAAGTCTATAATGAACATATACTTGGTTAACACTGATTTCCAACTAAAGAGATATCTTATGTATTATACAGAGAGTATTCTTCCTGCAGAAAACAGTCGGTAGACACAGCTTCAGTACTTCATTGTCGTCAAAGGAATTATTCACGAATTAGTTTTAAGTGAGTGAGTGACAATTTTAAAAGCGATAATTCACAACTCACCTCTTCTTTAGTGCAGTTGTCAATTTCATCGGCCCAACTTTTCTCAGATGACCGTATTAAACTTCTGCCTTGTTGAAGAGATTGAGTGAGGAGTTCTTCTTGAGCCTCTTCTACCTGTTGTCGTAATGCTTTGTTTTCAGCAGTTAAACGACGAACGATCTCTTGAACCTCTTGATAGCGTGCCAGGACTTCAGAGCTACCAGTTGCAGCAGCAGCTGCAGCAGCGATAGTACCTGAGCCTGAACCAACCTGCTACGTCGTTTACCTCCCATTGAACCATTAAGCTCCTCTAACACCTAGAGACACGTAAATGTAAGTAAATACAAATATAAATGAGGTATAATAGCAACTTAGTGACGTTAATATGCGGGTAAATGAAATCCACACAATATGTTTTCGTTATGAGAGAAATCTTTGATCAAATTTTAGCAACAGTCACTAAAATATACTCAGGACTGTAAAATTAAGTTTATATCAACAAAAATACCTCCTTTTTTATAAAAGATTTTATGAAGGTAACATCAACATGTATTTTAAAGGTTGCCATACAATTAAAGTCAGTCAGATTAGACAAAAGCAGTCGGCTACAAGACACAAAGGTCTGATATTCTAGGCAGAAAAGTAGAGAAAAAGATAGCTTAAACAGGATGCGCGCGTCCATGATAGAAAAAATAATTGTCACCATGAAAATGGCTTTACAGTCACTGATTTTCTGATCTTTCACTCAGCAGTGCAACTTTTTTGACATTGAGTAATTTGATTAGTGTGATTAAATTATAATAATGCTATAAAACATTTTTTCAGCCTTAGAATATTTGATTTCAGATCACTTGAACTTCAGTTTTATATTCATCTTATTAACAAATGTAGTATACTAACACCATTTGTCAATTGCTTACATGTACCATAGCAACAATGCGCAAATTCATCTTTGAATTCCAGTGCTGGTATGAAGTGAGGAAATGAAATAAAAAAGATTTCGAAAACTTATGTACTATGAGCCATGCTTACTAAGCTAACCGTTTGACAGAAAGACAAGCAGATAAACACAATCAAAATAGGATCTGAAATTACTGTCCCAGTAGCCACACTTGATACCACCAACACATCAAGACATAATGCATTCACAATAAAGATAAGGAAAAAAACAGTAAAAAGTGGTGGAGAGTTATCAAGAAAAGGCGACGAGAGGTAAGAAAATACTGAATTCACTACGAAGACTAAGACGAGGATAATGTGTGAATATATCCGTGTAACTGACGTCGATTCTGAGTTGTCAGCTGGAGTCTCCAAACACTAGTTTCTGCTGTTGTGCAAACACCATACTGAAAGTCTTCACTTCCTTACACGGCTCAGATCAACAGTCAAAGACTTCATGAGCTGAAATCATGTCTTACATAATCCGGTCACCTCTAACTTTTTTCCAAACTACACCTACTTTAACCAACAGTGTGGGACGAGACATAAGGTGACTAGACATAAGCAACACTTTTTTTAGCAACCTCAGACGGTGAAGCTTCACAACTTCATCCATTAACTTACCTTATCCACCAAAACCTTTACTCTTGGTGTCTACGTCACTTATGTGGTTGCATCAGATGAATGGTCTACGCAGAGCGGCCAAAAGCCGTGAAATACCTGACAACCTCCGGCATCCTTTACCTTAAGGGGGTATGTTTGACAGCCATACAGTTTAAAAAAGTAAACTGCAGTGAAGTACACTCGACCCTTAACAGATAATCGGATATCGTGATGACACCATAAACGTTTTAAGTTGGCGAAGGCCAATTGAAGCTTTTACATCCGTGTATAGATTTCGTTAGTCACTGATCCACCAGGGCTGGTCTGACGTCCCAGGTAAGTGAAGTGGACAACGCGCTCAATCATTTCATTCCCTATTATTAGACAGGGCACCACTGAAAACCAGTCCTCGAGCAACAACTTGCATTTGGGTAGTGACAAACAATCCCAAACATTCACAAATCGGGCGCTCCAAGGTGCCCAGTAAATTCTGCATCTTGTCAGCATCTTCGCCCAACAACCACTATGTCATCTACATGTTCTACACGTACTAAAGATTCATTTGTGATTAGATCAATCAATTCTTGTGATGAGTTGTACAACAAAGTTGAATAAGAATGGAGAGAGTGGACATGGTTGACGGGCACCACTCGACGTACACAACCCACCATAGGCTCTAACTAACACGCTCACAGGTGTTCGAGTACATAGCCATCAACAGAGTGACTTACTTACTCGATACCCCGTTCACTGAGAGACATGACCATAAGTCTTCTCGATGGACAGAGTGAAATGCCATCTTCAGGTCGAGAAGTGCAGCGAGAGTGTGCCAGTGTTCCAGAACCTGGCAGAGTTTGATTATCTTGTTCATACACCAACGGCCAGGTCCAACGCTTGCCTGGTTCCCTCGGGTTCGCTGTTCCCGAGCTCCACTCAGACGTCTGATAATTATAAAACTTGGAGTCCTAGATGTGTTTGTCAAGCTGATTCCTCTGTGGTTATCACAAGAGGATTTCTCCTTACTTCTTGAAGATTGAAACAATCAGTGAATGTGACCAGTGGGAAGGGATCATAGATGACTCCTATGCACTATCTAACACCGGTTAACCTGACCAATAATCCTTTACCATCTTCCTTAAATGTCTCCGGTACTTGTCCGTCTGACCCTGCTGCTGTTCCTGGTTTCAGGTTAACTACAGTTTTCTCGACTTCTGTAAATATTGGTGGTCCTATCTCGATTTTTCAGTCAAACTCCGAGTGGATAGTGAACAACGGTATAGTAGGTATAGTAGGTCAGTTGCAGTGTTCTTTGAAGTGTTCCACTCATGGTTCCAGTTGTCTTCTGTGCTGGTCAATCACAGACCCGCTCTTCTCACATATAGTCTCACTGACCACTGACATTTTCGCCCTAGTCTCCTTAGTGAGGCGAAATAACTATCTACTGTTACCTATCACTGCTTCCTTTCTCATCTTCTTAGCCTTCACCACCCGGCCTTGTTCATAGTCACTGTGTAGACTTCTCGTCGGTCTACATTGAGTTATTTCTGCTCCTCATTTTGCTCGAAACCTGCCTGAGTGCACTGGTGTGCATCGATTATTTTAGAAGAAGCTGCTGAGATCCATTGGCCTTTTGAAACTACTATATCTCTGAGTCGGGCACGACCTTCAACGATGTTTTTATGCCAGACTGGAGATGTCACCAGGCAGCTTCAGGATGAGTGTGATGTTGTTGTGTTCCGTTAAATGTCTAGTCGGTATCTCTCTGAAAACATTCTTAGGATTCTCATTTTCGAGCTGCACTCTCAATGGTCTTATGTTCATTTACTCACAGAAATACCCGTGCTCAAATAAACGCATGGTCCCTGTCCAAGCGCTTGCTCCCAGGTAGCGAAAGTCTCTCTCTGATTCTCTCCAGCTGTAATTGACAGCAACACGGTTTATTTGTGTCCACCAGAATTGTGAAAGGCGATCGCTTTTATATGTTTGTTCGGATGGGATTCAGAAAGTGACACGTAAGCGGATTTCCGTCTGACTTAGCTCATTCAGTTACACCTTAAAATCACTGACTACAACCTCGTCTGAATGTAGTAGAGTAGGTAGTAGTTATCAGTAGAATCCATCTTTTACTTCATCTGACCTACAATCAGTAGATGCGTAAGGAGAAATTACAGGGACGATGGTGAGTTTTATTATTTTGTTTTGTCCACACTGCACCAATTCAGTCGAAGAGTGCATAGGTGACTGTCAAGTGAGATCCAGTTGAGCACTGAACTTTCTGTCTTTATCACTTAATGCCATTCCTACACCTGGAAGACTGTGAGAACTAGTCATCGCCAGTAGCAGTACTTGGTTCGAGTCCAAACTGGTTCCCCTGGAAAGAGTAGCAGTCCTGCACTGATCCTCTCCAACGATGGCTTATAGCCATGTGATTTATTTGTGTCCATCGTTAGTCTGAAGTCATTGGACACTATGTGAAACAGTGCCTAAAGCTAGTGCTGGCCAGAAACAAGTGATTGTTGGAACAAGATTGCAGTACACGACCACCGTTGTTGGTTCGTTGGCATGACATCTCGTAAATACCGTCATGATACCTTTACAAATGAATCAGCTCCCCTGCTTGAGCGTTGAAGTCACCTTCCATCATGACTACATCCGAACGTTTCGCTTTCTGTAGCAAGGTTGACAGCTTCTTGAAGAATTCATCCTTTGTGTCATCCAAACTGCAGTCTGTGTGCTCATCGTGTAGGTGGAGATTACGAACAGGTATTGCCTAGTCTCACGATCCTTCTTAGTCCTTACAGATGCATTCAGTCTAACAGCATATAGACGGTTGTTGATTGGTATGGAGTCGAGAAGCGCACCTTCTTCTCTACGAGTCAGTGGTATATCTACACCATCGGGTTCACGAGATCAAATGGTTGGGTGTCCGGATATTCTTGAAGTGGATTGTTAAGATAAGCAGCTAGAAGATTGGGCAGAATACTTTGAAGCACAGATTAGCTAGTCCACAGCAACGCTTCAGGTACCCAACATCTACGCAGCCTGAACATAAAGTGGGACGTAGATATCAGTCTTCCAACTCTGCTTGAAGTTGAGAAAGCTGTATCAAACCTGAAACCATGCAAAGCAGCATCACCTGACAGTTTCCCACCTTAAGCTTTCAAGGATGCAGGCAGGAAATCGCTGATAAGGTAGTGTATGGGAATGAGAAGTTGTGCCGTCAAACTGGTGTGCTTCACTGATCATCCTAGTCCATAAGAAGGAGGAAAAATGGTCTTGTGACAACCATAAGGGAATTAGTTTGACTAATATTTTTCTCCAAGATCCTAGGCTCCATAGTTATCTGATGCCTAACTGGAGATCAAGAAAAGCGAACTCAGCAAAACCAGGCAGGTTTCACACCTGCAAGAGGGAGCATGGATCAGATTTTTACCCTGCAACACAGACGTATCTCCCGGCCAGTGGTCAACACTTGCCGTGATTCTTGACCCGCAAACAGCACTCGACTCTGTCGACCGTGAGGTGAAGCAGGGTGTGACTGTGAACAGACTGTCAAGCAACTATGTAACCATCATCAAAGCTACATACTCATACGCACACACCCGTGTCAGGGCTTATGGAAAGTTGTCATGTGAATTGACGACAACTAGTGGTGTCTGCCAGGGTTGCCCACTGTCGCTGTTCCTATTTAACTTCATGATACACACTCTAATGAACTTTACCTAAGGTATCTGTGAGTTCATAAGGATTCATCTACACCCTGTATGTCATCCAG